TCAGAAAAAAAAATCAGGAAAAGCTCATAGCATAATATGCCATGAAATTGTCAAAGTGTAGTATGACATAAAAATTAAATTAAAAAGAAAATAGTATAATATGCCAGAAAAAATGTCAAAAAATCATAGTCATAAAAATGTAATGTAAAAAATCACAGTATGCCAGAAAATGTAGAATAGTATGCCATGAGGGGACATAAATCATAAATCAGTTTGTAACATAAGATTAGAAGCACTAATCCAAAACAATCCTATTTTATGGACTAATGGATAAACTGGTGTATTGATTGGTGACTGATAGGTAGAACTAAAACAACAGACAATAAACGCTTGCCGTAGTTGGAGTGGGACTGTGTCGGTTGTTAACTATGCTGCACCACACTGCACTCACTGCCAAAACAGATCAATTATAGCCAAGAGACCGTACACCACAACAAATTATAAAGAAGACAACAACAGACTGCAAACAGAGGCTTGCATAATTAAACACTACAAGATGCATAGTAATTAAGTAGTGGGGCAAAAGATCACTTGCCAGTAAAGCACAAGACAGACTGTATGCTGCAGTGCATAATGTTGCACCCCACAGTCAATACTACTTCTTTTTTTTCTTTTTTTACATTGAGCACTAAGATCTTTGATTTTGACGTCGTCAGATCCATCAAATGATACAGTTGCCAAAATTAACTTGTTAAGCATGAGCTGCAGAACAGCTTCCTAAAGAGAAAGTTAAACGTTAAAGCTTAAAATGATCTATATTAATAAAGGCTTTGCAAGATTAGATTCAAAAGTAATTTCCCCCAGCAATACTGAATGAACTCGCTCACAACAAATAAAAAAATCCCCTAAGGAATAAAACTTGTTCTGCTCTACCTCTGTGATCAAGCCTATCTGATTCATCTTCACAATGAAGTTTACAGTGAAGACACCCTGCCTGTTTGACTCATCTCTGCACCCTCCCTCCTTTTACAGGTTTTATAGCTGCTGATATTAAAGGAACCGGCTCCTGGACTCAACTTTACCTAATCACCGACTACCATGAAAATGGCTCTTTGTACGACTACCTCAAATCAACCACTCTAGACAATAAAGCCATGCTGCGACTGGCCTACTCCTCCGTATCAGGCCTGTGTCACCTCCACACAGAGATCTTTGGCACCCAGGGCAAACCTGCCATCGCCCACAGGGATCTGAAGAGTAAGAACATACTGGTGAAAAGAAATGGGACCTGCTGTATAGCCGACCTAGGGCTGGCAGTCAAGTTTATCAGGTGATTAAGCACGATTAGATGAAATATTCCTCTTTGATTCTCAACTTGAATCCATGTTTTGGTAAATGTAAGCTCTGGTAAAGGCTTGGAAATGTTCACAAATCAAAGTATTTTGAGCTTATATTATTTCAGAGGATTCAGTAATGTGCATAGCTCATTCATCTTTAATTCAAAATTGTTACTTTGATCTCCGCAGTGACACCAATGAGGTAGACATCCCTCCCAACACTAGAGTCGGTACAAAGCGCTACATGCCTCCAGAGGTTCTGGATGAGACTCTGAACAGAAGTCATTTTCAGTCGTACATCATGGCTGACATGTACAGCTTTGGGCTCATTCTCTGGGAGATTGCTCGGCGTTGTGTCTCAGGAGGTAAATACCGTAAAATTTACTTTTCATCTATTTCTCTGTTTTGTTTTTTTTGACACAAACACCTTCTGAAAGCCAGATTGCCACAAAGAATTGAACCTATACTTTTTGGATGTCTATAGACCAGAGCGGCACATACAGGGACATCATATAACATCAAGGCCGATAGAAAAACCAAGATCCTATAGATAGATGTCAATGCCATTAGACATGTTTTTCGATGATAATTTTGACGAGCTTGTGACACATTTGTTTCACAGGCATGTCTATTACATATTGTGACCTTGCCTGAACCTGAGTGTTCACGTTACTTAAATAAATTGTAAGGTTGATTGATCTGCTCGATTGAGGCCAGGCTGAGATTTAGTTGGAAATGAAGTCTGATGCCGCCATGACGTTACTGTATGTCTGCACTGCAGCAGCTTCCCACGCAAGCTAACTATCCATCAGTTGTAACTGTCATCAGCATCTTCATCATTATCAATATACCAGACTGAAAATGAATATTCACTCAGGATTCTTCTGTTATTTGTTTCACAACCCACGACACAACAGCTTTTCAGTATTTACTGTTATAAAGGTAGTGCAGCCTTGGCGATCTGCACTTGATGAAGCTATCTGTGTTGGTCTTTGTTATGCAATAGGGAATTGAACACTTTACACACTGTGTTTTCTCCCTATCTTATTTGTTGTAGGAATCCTTGAAGAGTACCAGTTGCCGTACCATGAGTTAGTTCCTACAGACCCTTCATATGAAGACATGAGAGAGGTGGTCTGCATCAAGAGACTACGACCATCCTTTCCCAATCGATGGACCAGCGATGAGGTAAAATACGTCAAAATATACTAATACACACATGTACAAATACACTTCAACTGATGACCTTCCTAACATAAATCTGTATCTCCTCAGTGTTTGAGGCAGATGGGGAAGCTGATGACAGAATGCTGGGCCCACAACCCGGCCTCCCGCCTCACAGCCCTACGGGTCAAAAAGACACTTGCCAAGATGTCAGAATCGCAGGACATCAAGCTGTGAGCTGGCACTGCCAGGTGTGTGTTTACACACATAGAAAGGGCACTAACAATCACACTGGCTCTGGTCCGGGCCACACAATCCTTTTTTCCTGGGAAAAGGAGTTGGGACAGGAAGCGAGATCATCACTCGGAGATCGCAGGATCACAAGAACTTTGAGAACTTCGAACCTCTACAATCCAAGTCCCCCTTGAAAAAGTTTATTACAGGACTGCAGGGGTTAAAACTAAAATGAATCAAGACAATCTGGTCCCGTGTGACCCTGTTCTGTCAATCAGAGAAGATGAGACATTCATTTCAGACTAGTGAGAGGACTCTAAAACCAGGTTCCTGTTCACATGCTCCAAAAGCCCTGGAGAAAGAGATTGAGTTTAACTTGGCACTGTAGCTGCAGAAATACGCAAACAAGCTACTGACCAGTGAGTGGAATATTATATCACTGCTTTCTGTGAAAGCTTCCCTACCTGTAAATGAAGGTCCGATTGATAGAACGAAAAAGGACGTGCTTTAAGGCAATCTGTTATTGCAGCATGACACCTCCTTTCAAAACACTGTCAACCCACTACTGCCTTTATGTTGTAATTGGATTGAACACACGTTTGTCACTCTTAAATTGACTGCTTTTGGTTACGATGACTGACACCATGTGGCAGACAGAAAGTTTACTTCTGAGGCTTTAAAAGTTTTGTTGACACTGAAGAAACCGTACACCTGTATTTTTGAGTTGTGATGGGATATGAAAGTTTCAAAAGCGCATTTTTCGATGTAAAACTCAAACTCTTCGAGAGTCTTTGTGAAAAATAAAGTTTATATGTCCAAATGAATCCTGGATTGAGGCTCTACACGCCTCTGTGTTTCCTTGCCCTGCGTGAGGAGAAGGGGCTTTACAGTAACGGAGCGATTGAAGCAGAATGGTGCCACCCGTAGGTGCTCTGTGGCAATTACAGGCAATCAGAAAATGTTGTACACTAGCTGTTGTGGTGACTTCTTGCTTGATGATGTAGTGATCTATTATAAAGTGTGGAATTGTGCCTGTGTTAGTTTAGGGGTACCACAAGTCATTTGTCACTGGGGACTGCTATCATTCAGACACTCTCATGACACAGAGTTGCCACCATAACAAGGCTAATAATGGATACGTGTGTGTGTGTGTGTGTGTGTGTGTGTGTGTGTGTGTTAGGCAGCTGGACCAGGAGCCTTCACTTAAAATATTTAACACACACACACACACACAGTATTGTTGAAATAGCAACTGGTCCTAGAAAACACCCCCCAGCCATCCCCAAACTATCACCGTTATTACCCAGTGGACATCACACAGTCACTTTCTCCCCGACCACCAGGCTGCCTCATACATGTAAATTAAAGTCCATGTTGAGCTGATTCACCATTTGCATCTGTCACACTGAAATCAAATGGCACCCAAGTCATTAAAAAATCCATCATCCGGCTTCTGTCAGGTGAGTTTCTCCACTGATTCAAATTCTCACATGGTAGCGAGTATTAGGAAGCTTTAACAGCCTCACTGCTGCAGTATGAAATGGTTCTCAAGGTAAATCTGGACACCTTTCATCATCACAGTTAGCAAGCTGTTAGGTCTTCCACAGCGGCCCGCCATCACATATCCATTCGTTTTTAGCTTTCCTTAGTCCCATTTGTAAAACCCTTAACTTTCCTTCAGGTCACTAAGTTCATTTCTCTTTATATCTCTACCAGCTGAAATAATGGGATGCTCTGTCACTGCTGAGTGTGTGACGGATTTGTTGTGTTATACATGCCCTTTCTTTCCTCTTGGGTGTTGTGCCTTATTTAATCTGTACCTACTGTAGTTGTCTGTGAGAAAGTGGTGTTTTTAATTCAGTAAAAAGGTTGAACATTCCCCTAATAAAGTGTTTCACTCATCCACATGGCTGATGCACAGTTTGTGGTGGCCGACTGAGGTGCATGTTAAGTAGTCCCTAGGTGGTGCCTCATACTGTTAAGGCATGCTCTCCATATTTTCTTTGTTAGAAAAAAAAGCTGCATGCCTCATTGCGACCCACTGGTGCTGCTGAGCACTCAGCATGTTAAACAGTGACACCGTAAGGATTTTCTGTTCCAATTTCCTTCCCTTCAGGCGACTTTATCCAGCTACCCATTGAGTCTGGAACCTGTAAATATGAATTGCACGGGGAAAAAAGGTATACAATCACAGCATTGCAAATCAAATGTATATATTCATGGTTTACAAATTGCATTTTGTATCAACAACATGAGAGAAATACAAGTTTAAACCATTTCCTGAATCAGTTCTGTATAAAGAAGCCACCAGAGGCACTGCACATGTTCAGCGTTGCTTATAAATATAATTTATTAATTGTCTTAAAAATTCTTTCTTACACTTTGTACAGAAAACAATTAGAGGAGATAGAGAGGCGAGCATTCAGCAAGATTGAGCAAGATTCATGAAGCGTGCCAGAATTAGCAAAAATGGACCAACACTACCCCGCACTAATCAAATCAAATCACCCCTGATAGTAAAATAAAAAATGCACTTACAAGCACAGCTCTAGTTATAGACTTCTATCATGATAACCAATGCCAAGTTTGCATAGTCGACACCGCTTTTACAAAAAAGGAAAGAAACTTAAATTAAAAAAAAAAAAACTTGAAACATACAAACTAGTATCTAACTGTACTGCTCTTTTTTATATTCTCAAATTTGCCAAATATAGCTGACAGTACACAACTGTACATATTGTGGATACAAAATATTTTTTACATACTTTGATATCTTAACACTACTTTCTTCATTTTCACATCACGAAGGATCACCTTCTGGAGGCCAAACGTTTGCTCTCCTCGTTTGAAAACTCCCTTTTACAGTCTACTCCACTGACAAACAGTCTGTCTTGCCGGTAACTGCAGACTCAGAACATGGCAAGGATCAAATTTTGGGCAAAGTAACGCAGTAACTTACATTTCTTAACCGATCGTCTCCTTGTGCACGTTTCATCAGTTAAACTGAATCTTGTATTCTGCGTTTGAGTTGATCAGACATGTTGATGATCACGTTGTATGAAAGAGACACTGTCATGACCTTTGGGTTCATGTTTTGTTCTGAAACCTACTGAATTGTTGACGTGATGTTTTAGGCTTTTTATCCTCAAATCTCACACAGCTCTTCCCTTTGTTTTCCTCACATCTGACATCATCATTTGAAAACATACAAAACATCCACTCTGTTATTTAACCGCACTCCTTCTCTAATTTGGTTCATTAAGGCTGTCCGAAATTAATAGATACACAACTTTGAGGCCTGCATGTCGTCTAGGTCTGGCTTTACACCGATACAAGAGGTTGGATTTTTAAACGCACACATTTCTGAAAAAAATCAATGTGTAAAATCAATGTCTCAATGTTTCCCTCCTGTGCGGACAGCCGCAAGATGAAATCTGTCATGAAGAGGTAACAATCTGACCTTTTGTACCGGTGTTAACTCAGCCTTTCCCCACTTGGTTTTCCATACAAGATCCTCCTCAGTATCTCCTCTACATACCTGATGTTCAGTTTCATATGGCGTCTCTCCATAGTTCAGAGCAGAAATATCTTAACTCCAGTTTTTGAATATGTTACATGTATTCCCTTTGAACTAAATGTTCATGTTCTTAAACATGATGAATAGAGTTCATGTGCCCAAGGGCATCTGACTATTAAAAAGCCACTGAAAATAAGGCCTTTTTTTCTCTCCACAAAGCTGGCTCGCTGGAGTTCCACCTTTTTGTCAGACCTTGTTGACCCCAGTCTATGCATACGCTTGAAACCCAGCTGTGCTTCACAATGTTGTTCTGCAAAACACAAATATATTACACTTCATTTTACACAGTCGGCCCCTTTAGTTTGTGTCTGGATTTTTACCTTAAGATTGCAGTTTTTTCAACAAATACACTGAGTTGGAATGTTAGCTGCTGACAGAACGTTGTTGTAGATAATGGGCAACTAACTGATATGTTACAGATTTTATCCCCCCAAACAGTTTACACCTATAAAAACATTAAAATGGAAAAAAAAAGTCAAAGCAAATAACACAATAATGGCCACTGAACAAAAAAATATTATGATAATAAAAGGTCATTAGAATGAACATGATAATCATGTATTTACACGTTTCAGACGATCAAAAAATGTAAATGCTGTTATTCTTCAAAAGCCACTGGATGGTGCTAGTGACCATGATCAAGTCATGGTGGTGATCACAAATGAAATCACATGTGGCCTGACGGCAGACAACACAACTGACATCCTGTGATGATGAGACACCGAAAATATGACAGAAATATATCTATATATATATATATATGTAGGCTATATATATTTTAGTAAATTAAAATATGATTGATAAAATCAGTATATTGTGTACACTTAGCGGTAATGAATGATATCAGCTGTATTTAACTCACTATCACATAATACTATGGTAGTTTGTATAGTATTGTATTTAAAAACACTTGTGTTTTCACTTTGACTTCATCCCTTTTTGCTTCCTCTCTCTTTCCTCTGAGTTGGACCCTGTCCAGAAACAAGCCCCAGCAGTCTATTAGAGAGACTCCTGGAATTAAGGTTGTGGTTAACCAAATGTGGTAGCCATGGCTGGAATTCCCCACCCTGCATGGAGTCAGCGTCTGCACTACAACTCCATCCTGGAACGGAGCAGCAAGACTGCAGAAAACAACGCTCAGTTTTAGTAAAGGGATGCATTTGTTGCATGAAGATCAGCCGTGCTTTGATGCTTGTGGTGACTTCCCCAACAAGTATATTCCGGAACAAATATATAAACAATTTTAAAATCAACAAATGCAAACATTTAACAAACTAGAAGTGCACTTGGAAAGAGCAGACCTCTGCCAAGGCCAAATGCCCTATCTCGCAATGTTAACAAAAGTCAGTGTAATTTGTGTATCCACCCCATGTGTCAAATCCACTCCAAAATTAAATGGGTTCGTACCTGGCCCATGCTACACCCTCCCACCAAGTTTCATGACAATCGAGCCAGCAGTTTTTCCGTTATCCTGCTGACAAACAAACTGAGCTGAAAACATAACCACCTTTGCGGTGTGCATGAGAATGAATGACTGACAGTCTGTATCTTTGCCCTGTTTATCTGTTTATCATAAGTGCAATCTTAAATATACCCTAAAACAGATAATTTCATGTCTGTCTGCTGAAAGGAAAAACAAAAAATAGATTTGTATGCCTATCCATCAGTTTAATCATCTTTGGATTACCTTTTTAAGTAAATCAGAGGCACAAGTTTAAGACAAATGGACTGCTAATGGAGCTCAGTTGCCTTTGACTTAGAACTTCTAGACTCTCTGTGACCTGGATGATTTAATATCTTCATGCATATTGGAGGAAAGCCACAAACTCGATATTTAATACAACACAAATTTAAAATCACTTATGATGTCCAGGCAAAAAAGGCGACAGCTGTAGTCTTGGGCTTGTTTCTGGTCAGGACCCTTTGATTGACAGTCACCGTGTAGTAAATTCTGTTAGCGGGAAAGGATCCACACATATGGACAGCAGAATACATAGAGCGTTCCCTAGGAAACGATATAAAGACAACAAACTGTACTGGCAAAACATGTACAGCCAAGGCTCGCAGGAGAAGTGAGGGATCACTTCTTTACCTCCTCTCTCTCATTATCTGTTTTCCATCCTGTTCTTACAGATGATCACCTGCGGCTTCTTCCATCATTTTATGTTAATGTCCTCCCTCCCTTTTGAAATCAGTTTAGCCTTTCCCTGTGTTTACTCTTGTCTTACTAAAGACTCTTGTCTCTGACTCATCCCCTCTTTTCCCTTACTGTGCCTTCTCTCACTCTTTTGTAATCAGTTTAGCTTCTTTCCCTTTATGATTCTGTTCCAGTCCTGTAGAGGTTTTCAAGGTCAGCACCTCTGTTGCTTATTTTCTTTGCTTCTCTTTGCTCAGTATAAAGAAACAGCAAGAGAACAACTAGTGTTACACCAAACAAGGTCTCTTTTAGGCATGTGTATGTTTTGTTTGTTCCTGATAGACTCTGTTTGTGTTGTAGGTTGGGTTATGTCTCTTTCGGTCACACACAACACTGCAACGTTGCTGAAATAAACACACAAAGATACACGCACAGAGTTCCCAGCACCGGCTCGAGCATTTCTCGTTTGTTACCATGTCGGCATGATTGCCATGGTATTTAACCGGTGCTCAATCACCTTAGTGACAACTTTTCTTTTGCTCACATCGAATTTGTTCATTGCCCTTGCCGCAGCATCAGCCATAGAGAAATCACGTGTTATCGTCTCCAGAGTTATGTCATTGTCACGGTGACCATGTTGCTTCGTCAGTGTTCCGTTGTCATGGAGGCAAAGTTACCATCATGGCGACCCATCTCTTCCAGCACAGCGGCCAGTTCATTTAAATCACCATCAGGGAAGTGTTGGGCTTCCCAGAGATCCAGGATCACACCTGTCGGACTGGACTTAGTGGCAAAGTAGTTCAGGTACCTGGAACAATCAAGGAGAAGAGAGGGACAAAAGGTAAGGTACATATATGGGAGAAAAGGGCCAATACTCTCATCTTCTCAGCACTAAGTAGCATGTCATGAAAAAGAAACTCATAGTAAAGCACGCCATTAAAAGTGTGACTGAAAAAAAATAATAGCATTGTATGTCATGAACATGTCATTAAAAAAAGAACCGATAAAAATGTGATTAAAAAAGAGCCATGCTATAGTATGTCATTAAAATGTGATAGTATAACATGTAATAGAAATAGCCATTTTATAGTATATCATACAGAAATGAATAAAAAGTTATAGGTCAAAAGTCATTAAAAAAAGTATCGTACCTCATCCAAAATCATGAAAAAACACCATAATATAGTATGTCGTCCTAAATCATGAAAAAAGTCATAGTATAGTATGTCGTGTAGAATCATGAAAAAATGTCATAGTGTATGTAGTCCAAAATCATGAAAAAACGTCAAACTATAGTATGTCGTCAAACATTATTAAAAAACACCATTGTATATAGTATGTCATCCAAAATCATGAAAAAACGTCAAAGTATAGTATATCGTCAAACATTATTAATAAACGCCATTGTATATAGTATGTCATCCAAAATCATGAAAAAATACCATAGTATAGTATGTCGTCCAAAATCATGAAAAAAATGCCACAGGATGGCATGTCGTCTAAAATCATGAAAAAATGCCATACTATAGTATGTCATCCAAAATCATGAAAAAAACGTCATAGTATAGTATGTCGTCCAAAATCATTAAAAAATGTGATACTATAGTATGTCGTCCAAATTCATGAAAAAATGCCATAGTATACTATGTCATCCAAAATCATGAAAAAATGTCATACTATAGTATGTCGTCCAAATTCATGAAAAAATGCCATAGTATAGTATGTCGTCCAAAATCATGAAAAAATGTCATAGTATAGTATGTCGTCCAAAATCATGAAAGTATAGCCAAAATCATGAAAAAAAAGCCATAGTATAGAATGTTGTCAAAAATCATGAAAAAAGGTCATAGTATAGTATGTCGTCCAAAATTGTGAAAAAACGTCATACTTTTGTATGTTGTCAAAAATCATACAAAAATGCCATAGTATAGTATGTCGCCCAAAATAATGAAAAAATGTCATAGTATAGTATGTCGTCCAAAATCAAGAAAAAATACCATAGAAAAGTATGTAGTCCAAATTCATGAAAAAATGTCATAGTATAGTATGCTGTCTAAAATCATGAAAATATGCCATAATAGTATGTTGTCAAAAATCACGAAAAAACATCATAGTATATTATATTGTCAAAAATCACGAAAAAATGTCATAGTATAGTATACCGTCCAAAATCATACAAAAAAGTCACAGTATAGTATGTCGTCCAAAATCATGAAAAAACATCATAGCACAGAATTTCGTCCAAATTCATGAAAAAATGCCATAGTATAATATGTTGTCCAAAATCATGAAAAAACGTCATGGTATAGTATGTCGTCCAAAATCATGAAAAAAACATCATAGTATATTATGTCGCCCAAAACCATGAAAAAATGCGTTAGTGTAGTATGTCGTCCAAAATCATGAAAAAAATTAATAGTATAGTATGTCGTTCAAAATCATGAAAAAAATTAATAGTATATTATGTCGTCCAAAACCATGAAAAAATGCGTTAGTGTAGTATGTCGTCCAAAATCATGAAAAAAAGTCATAGTATAGTATGTCATTCAAAATCATGAAAAAATGTCATAGTATAGTATGTCGTCCAAAATCATGCAAAAAAGTCATAGTATAGTATGTCGTCCAAATTCATGAAAAAATGCCATAGTATAGTATGTCGTCCAAAATCACGAAAAAAAGTCATAGTATAGTATGTCGCCCAAAATCATGAAAAAACGCCATAGTATAGTATGTCCTCAAAAATCATTAAAAAATGTGATAGTATAGTACACCGTCCAAAATCATGAAAAAACGTCACACTATAGTATGTTGTCTAAAATCATGCAAAAATGCCATAGTATAGTATGTCGTCCAAATTCATGAAAAAACGTCATAGTATAGTATGTCGTTCAAAATCATTAATAAATGTGATACTATAGTATATTGTCCAAAAGCATGGCAAAAAGTCATAGTAAAGAATGCTGTCAGAAATCATGAGAAAAAGTCATAGTATATAGTATGTCGTTCAAAATCATTAAAAATGTGATACTATAGTATAGTGTCCAAAATCATGAAAAAATTCCATAGTATAGTATGTCGTCCAAAATTATGAAAAAAAGTCATAGTATAGCATGTCTTCAAAAATCAGGAAAAATGGCATAGTATTGTATGTAGTCCAAAGTCATGAAAAATGCCATAATATAGTAGGTCGTCCAAATTCACGAAAAAACGTCATAGTATAGCATGTCGTCCAAAATCATGTAAAAACGTAAAGGACAGCAAAAGGTAAAAGCTCCTCTGACAAGTACTAATCAAATGTGAACCATTTCTATTTCCCCATACTGTAATGCAAAGGTGACAAATGACCCCTTTTTTGTTTTATATTAATGTTTTGAAGGGTTAAATGTAATTAATTTTTACCTAACATTGCTGCTCTTGTTTAAATGTACTGAAAGGATCTGATACCTGACAACAGGTAAAAAAAACTACCTAGAAACATCAAAGAAACATCCTTGATTAAGTCCTGACATCATATATATTGTATTGAATGAAGGAGTGTGGCAAACTTTAAATGTGCTAGGTGAATACTTGTTAGAAAATTCACCATTATGTATGTTCAATTCAAACCATTTTGAGTAAATAGGAAAAAAAATGCATTTTGAAGCTGCGTTAGAGTACAAAAATGTGCCAACAAGTCCACAGGGAGAACAGTGTACATAGGAACAGTAAATACTAAAAATGTCAACAGTCAAGTACACAATGGTTGCAGAGGAGAAGTCTGACGCTGAGCCATCTGTGACAAAGATCTCATTGCCGCTTTAAAGTGAAAAAGCCATCAGATTTAAGTCCCTTGGGGATAAAAATGAGACTTTGTGTTCCTCTGTAAATCCTGTGATTGTACTGTTGGCACACTCTGGTACTGTTTAAACACAACTAGAGACGTGTACATCACTGCTCTGCTCCTTTCTGTCTCTGCTCCTGCAGTTTCTTCTTCTTTCTCTTTTCTTTTTTTTTTGTAAAACCATCCAACAAGCTATTTTCATCACTTTCTTTATTACTTTCTTTCTTTCTTTCTCACTTGCCGTCTCAGCCTCCATCTGTCTGCAGTATGTGATAAGGGGTGTCCTGCTGTTAAGTGAACTCCACAGCTGAGATCCACTTCTTTTCTTGTGAGTCTGTTTGTGTGTGCGTGTCCACAATTTCCTTTAACAGTTGTATCAGTACGAACCAAAACATCCACAATTACATGTTTGTCTGTGCAAAACTGTGCACGGCTCAGATTTGTTTTTATAGACACAAAGTTATGCGAGGAGAGACAGCTGTGACGGCAAAGCATGAGTCATACTTTGAACTCACAGACATGACGTGGCAGTGTCAAGAGCAGAGAGGATAAAAGATGGTATTTCCGTACTATCATGTTCCTTTTGAAGAGTGCCTTTTCGCAGAAATGTGGAAGTAAACAACAATTTGGCTAGGTGTCCATTTTTCACCCACGGATATAGAGAATATTTGGCGCCCACATTAACGGACTACATCAGGAGTTGGCTGACTGTTTGGACTATGAGGTGCACATGTGCCCAATTATCCTCTGACAAGCTGCTGGTGAGCAGACCCACAGACTGAATCATCGAGACACATCTGGGGATAGAGATACTAAGGATGCTACCTGTGAGTCAAATGCCAAAGGACGATTGCCTCTTTACTCTCTCTGGATGGGAGAATCAATGATATGCGTTGAAATTGAGTGACTAGATTTCCTGCGCACTAAAGTTTAGAGTAGAGATGCTTTAACTGTTTTTATTTCTATACGAAAAGACATTAAGCATTTGTATTTGTCATTGTGATTTTGTATTTGGAGATAAAATAAGTAATAGAATGAGAATAAAAATGAGACAGACTCATCTCAGTAGAACTACACCATCTAATTTAATCTACCAGGACTCAGCTGACATTTGAATTCGCAGAATCTTTCTTCATCTGTTGTTGAAGAGGTGAGACAGGCCACCTTGATGAGCTGCCATCCTGTTGGGAGAAAACTTTTTTTTTCTGACTGAATGATGTTCCAAACCAAGCAAAACGCCTGAGGGAAGCATAGAGGAATTAAATGATAAATACTGTGTGTGTCTGTGTGTCTTGTGCATCACCTGTCAAGGTTGAGTTTGTGGGCCAGCATCCTCCAGTCATTGCCTCTGGTCTGCGGTGCATCTAGACTGCCACACAGCTTCTGTCTGATGGATAAAGGAATGCGGAAGGCATTGGGTCCCACTAAGGTTGTGATATTACTGGCAGGGTCCATCAGGGACGTGTCTATGCACTGGACCTCCTGAAAAGACAGAAGGAAACTGGTCAACTGCTGGTTAAAAGAGCAGTGTGTAGGATAATTACATTTAGTGGTGAAGATTGTAGATTGCAACCAGCTAAAACTTCTCCCACGTGCCAAGTGTGAACTCCCAGTTGGGATTCCTTTAATGTTCATTGTTCAGGAGCCGAATTATCTGCAGAAATCCCTTTCTCACCAAAAAAGACACCAGTAATTAAAACCAGTGACAACACTGAATAAAGCAGTTTCACAGTTACAAATCAGTGTTTTTCAACACTGTGCAGCTCACTGCAGACAGGCTGCTAGCCCAGCACCTGCTAATGTGTACTCACTTTTTTTCTTTGATAACTTAAGATCTAGACATTCAAGAAGCTTTTAGCAGGAGCCAAATTATCCACAGATGTCTCTTTCTCTCCAAAACAAATGGCAAGATGATTAAAACCAGCAAAAACAATGAATAAAGCAGTTTTATTTTAAAATCTGTGTTTTTATGATGTTTGGCTCATTGCAGAGGGGCTGCTAACTATAGTGGCTGACACAAAAACATAAATGGCCCCATCTAGAACCAGTGTTTGGTTTGTCTGTTTGAGGCTACTTTAGAAACATGGCAGTGCAACTCCAACTCTGTGTAAGAGGACCCCCTATTGAGATAAGAAGGGCTCATTCTAATGTAATGAAACCAAAACAATACTTATTTTCAGGTGATTAAACACTAAAGAAACCATACTTATTATATTCCATTTCTGCCAATATGTCCCACTAAATCCTACACACTGAGCCTTTAAAGAAAAAAAAGACTAGTTCAGTCAGGAATACTTTAGTCAAAGAAAACTTTATTTCCATCTGCAGTATCATATTTGGCGGTATGGCTCTGTTCTGGGGCCTCTCTGCCTTTCCTCGGGCCTACGTAGAAAGCCTCTTCCACGGCCTATGTGGAAAGCCTAGGGTGGAGAGAGCATACCTCTCTGCTCTTCCACGTGCAGACAAAGAAAGCCTGAGGCACAGAGAGCAAACCTCCCTGCCCCTCCATTCGCCCACATGGAAAGCCTAAGGCAGGGGGAGCAGCAGCAAAGACCCCCCGCGAGGTTGCAAAGTGGCCTGCAGAGGAAGCAGCAACAGTAGGCAGGCCAGAGAAGTTTAAATAGGGCGCCCTGAATGAGATTCGCCTATGGGTTGCATAGAAAGGAATCATGTGATCTATCAGCTGACTCCCTTCCATCGATCAGCTGCTCCATCAGTTGATTGGGCTGTTTGAGATCAGCTGATGTAGCTGGAATGTGAGCTGAGCTTGACATTGTGTCCTGCCTGAACTAAGGCTATGCTCAATCTATTTAAACTTTTTGAAAAGTTTGAAAAAGTTTATTGTTGTGTACAGTGTAACTTCTGCAGCAGAGACACAGGAAACAGCAGTGGGTCTAAGGACAACATACCAGAGAGCCTTAGAGGTAAAATATGGATCATAATGCACATCCATATGGCAACACTTATAAAGTCAAATCTGTCATATTTCTCTTTCAAATACGTCTCCACATTGATCCTCCTAGCAAAGACTCTACTCGTCTGTCTGCTGCATGCCGTCAGTTCGACCAATTACAAATAAGCTTCCTAATTAATACAAGAGTGAACCAAACACAAAGATCTGCTTCCAAGCACTCTGTCTCTCCTCTCGCTGTTGATCTCTGTCTCTCTCTAAACCTTCATCCCATTAATCTGCCACTCCTGGGCTGAAAGAAGGCAGCGGCCTAATGAATGTGGCTTGGCAGAGGGAAACAACAACTGCCACTGTTGATGTGAATGATTACTATTTACTGCGTCTACTTAGCCCCAATTTACAGCAGAAAGCTCTCTGCTGCTGGAGATTGAATGACTGATGCAAAGGGACATGTCTGTTCCTCTGTTGAAATAATAAATGCTTCGAACCTGCTTTACTTTGCATTGTTCAACATGAAGAACACTGCCGCCTGGTTGCTGGTCTATGGCATTTTATTTAAGGCATGCACAAAGAGGCTCACTGAATATTGCTTTAGCTATTCAGCTCTAATTACCATACTTGCCAAACATCCCATGTGATCATAGTAATTATTTTGTAAGACTAGGTATGGCCTATTTAAAATGGATTACAGCTGATCACTTAACAAAATATTTAATGTTGTGACAAAACTGTCACTGCCCAAATAGAAGCCCTAATTTTGACTGTGTACTTGTTACACAACCACAGCTCTTTTAGCTGAAGGTATAATGAAATAAGCACAGAATCACATTAGGAAGTGCAAGAGAAAATGCAGGATGGAACATTACCACTGCGCTTTCTTTCACTACGTGATTTTTGCACCTCTGACAGTTTAATAACTACATGAGAAAAGACACAAAGGCAAATTGTTACAACTTCTTTGACTCCATCTGCACTTAACAGGCACGTTATGAATATGAGTTAATAAGTGACTCATTGCTTCGTTCACTGAGTTGTCTGACCCTATTACACTTGGTAACAAAATATGGTGGAAAACGCACGTATTAATCACAATTATAGCCATATTTGAATTTAGTACTCTGAACTATTCTGGCTGCTTCTTGAGTTGAGGTCAAAGGTAAAAAAGGCTAATTGTCTGCATTTGTAAATAACTGTTGTAGGTTGGAAGATGGTGTGCATGCTTGTGCCCTGAAGCCGATATTAGCCAGTATTAGCTCATCAAAGATAATTCAAAGACAGTGGGCCCTGTTTAAATGATCAATAACCAATATGCAACTCCACTTTTGCTAGTCAAATGGGTCATAATCTGAGTTCAAAGTAAGAAGCAATGGGCAAAGGGATTGTATTTAATCCTAAATGAATCATAGGTGTGTTTTCAGCATAATCAATCAATCAATCAATCAATCAATCAATACATTTTATTTATAAAGCCCAATATCACATAACGACATAACATGATTTCAAACAATTAGAGTGTCATCTCCTATAAATTCAGGTGCCTGTACACCTGGGGACATATTCACAAAGCTTTCTAGTGCAAAGAGCTGCCATGACGTTTTCTGAGAATTTACCCCTAAAATGAAAACTAGGTCCTTAAAGATAAAAGTTATTCACAGAACATCTTAGACCTTAAAAGAGCTCCTAAGGTGAAAAACTGTTAGGAGCAGGGAGGAGGACTTTTAAGAGGCTCAAGAGTTTCGTAAGCAGAGAGGAAAATGGTGGAAACGAAAATGAAATGCTAATGCTGAAATGCTAACACTGTAACGCCAAAAACAAAAATGATCACAACACTAAGTTATCTGGAAAACTGGAAAAATGCAACAGTGCAGCAGTGATGACTTGGGTCTGTCTCAACCTGCCATCAGCAGACTGATCACACAAACAATGACAACACTTTCAGTCTCATATTGGGATGTAGTTCATTTCATTTCCACTGGGTGTCCACACCATGCAGGCTCACAAAAGAGCGTGTCTGTGACAACCAATCACATCTTTTAAAGGAATGCATCATACCTATTAATGGGATCAACCACACCTCCTCACTAAGGTAAACATTTCTGTCCCTTCCTTGCTCAGAGTTGCTCTGAGAACTCCTAAATCACTCCTAAGCTAGGACTCCTTACTAAAAACTTTTAGTCTAAGTTAGGAGCTCTCTGAGAGTGTTCTCAGAATGTTTGTGAATACAGCCCCTGGTGCATTGCTATAAACATAGAGGATCTGGCAAACTGGAGAAGTGATTTTCTACTGAGAGTGATACAGTAATGTCACTGCAACAAATACTGCGGGACAATTGCGCAGCAAAACTAAAAACTTTAGTTATAAACTTGCCGACGGGAAACAAAGCTGAACTTTTAGCCTCTATTATAATCAATGAAGTTACATGGCTCCTCGTGCATAAATGCGCACAGTGTCTCTCTTAATGGGGAGCCTGTTCCGGAGATACAGCTCTGCTCTGCTATGCTCACTTTTCGATAATGTAATTAATATTTCCTCATTAATGATGTATTAATTCATCCACCCAAAACCCATCCCTGCATCCCTGTGTGTGTAATAAGCTGAGTGTATGTGCGTTGTGAACCCAGCTTTTTAGGCACATTTTACTATCTGAAAAATGGGCCCTTTAAGTAGTAGGAAAATACTGCTCTTTAGACTAGTTTCTTGTTGGTAGATGACACAGTTGCTTTCTGCTGCCTCAAGGTAGCAATCCACCCAGTGCAAGTTACTTCCAAAATGTGGGAACTGGCCTTGAAAATATCAACTGAGTAGGTCTGAAACTAGCAATGAAGTTGCATGGCACTGTGCGCCACTTTGCACCGGGCATATGATAGGGCCCATAACTGTGTATATGTTGGCTGAAATGACAAGTATGCTCAGTGTGTCTGAGAAAGTTTAGAAACTGTGTCCCTATGGCATTATCTTCCTGCCTGAGAGGACAGGTTTGTTTTTCTATCATAAAATGTCTCCTTCAGTATATATCTTTGTTGCGAAAAAAAAAAAAAAAAAGAAACAATCCTTATCAAAAAAATGTTTTTGCTTTCAGAAAAGGCCTCACAAATCTAGTATCTGTCGGGCTCTTGATCTGTACACATACACTTTAACACACACACACACAAACACACGCAAGCACACAAACACTACAGTGCATAACCCTGGACAGGAAGACATAAAAGTGGTGCCAGGAGGACTGAGACAGCAGGATGTTTCTACATCGTTAACTGGAGATATCCTGCAACTATTAAACAACTCAAACTCCACATTCTGACATTTGTTCGGTGACCAGTGTTGGAGAGGTACAAAATATGTACAACCGTTGCTGCTGCTGCAACTACTCCTCTATACGCAGTCAAAAATCAACTTACCTGGTTAAATGGGGGTTAAAAAATTCTAAAGTGCAAAGCTATCACCCGTGAACGCCATGAGAGAATTCAAAGCAGTGACATTCCAGAGGAACTGTCTGACCTCCGACCAAAACTCTTCGCACACGGACACAGACACACACAGACACACACACACACACACACACACACACACACACACACACACACACACAGTGACTCTGTGGTTACATGGACTAGCAAAATCAAAGACGAGTTATTCCGCTCGTGTTCTGTGACCTCTAGCCTCAGTATGAATGATTGAACAGAGTCACAGAACCATAGCAGGAGCTCTGACTGTCTGACAGATAGAGAAAAACTTGGTGACTTTAGGACCTTCAGTATGGGAATGTAGCAGCCTTTCTCTCTGTGTGACTGTGTTCATATCTTGCCAGTATGTATCATTTTATCCCTCAGTATGTCCTCAGCTAGTGTGAGATAAAGTTTTATTCCGCAGTTTTCTCAACCAACACCTAATAAACAAAGTTTGTTTTGCTGTGTGCATGTGGATTTCTACAAACTACCATCCATCCGTCCATCCATTTTCATCCACTTATCTGGCACTGGGATGTGGGGGCAGCAGGCTAAGGTACTTCAGACATCTCTCTCCTCAGCAATGTTTTCCAACTCCTCTAGGGGGATCCTGAGGTGTTCCCAAACCAGGTGAGATATATAATCCTTCTAGCATATTCTGGGTCTGCCCCAGGGCCTCCTACCAGCTGGACGTGCCTGGAAAACCTCTATTGAGAGGCACCCAGGAGGCATCCTGATCAGATGTCTGAACTACCTTAACTGGCCCCTTTCAACACGCAGGAGCAGTGGCTTTACTTCAAGCTCCTTCCGGATGTCCGAGCCCCTTACTCTATCACCATGGCTGAGCCAAGCCACTCCACAGAGTAAACTCATTTTGACTGCTTGTATTCACGACCTAACTGTTTCGGTCATTACCCAGAGCTAAAGACCATAGGTGAGGGTTGGGACATAGATGGACCAGTAAATCGAGAGCTTTGCCTTCCAGCTCAGCTCCCTCTTCATCACGATGGTCTGGCCTAGCATCTGCATCACTGCTGACACCTTGCCATACCACCTGTCCATCTCACGCTCCATTTTACCCTCACTCATGACCAAAACCCCAAGATAAATTCCTTTGCTTGGGGCAGTAACTCTCTCCCAACCCCAAGGGGGCTATCCACCATTTTTCAGCAGAGAACCATTGGCTTCAGATTTGGAGGTGCTGACTCTCATTCCGACTTCTTCACACTCAGCTGCAAACCGCCCAGTGCATGCTGGAGGTCATGGTGTGATGAAGCCAACAGAACCACATCATCTGCAAAAAGCAGAGATGCAATTCTGATGTCCCCAAACCGGACCCCCTCTTCCCCCTGCTGCACCTTGAGATCCTGTCCATGAATATCCCAAACAGAACCAGTGACGAGGGACAACCATGATAGACACAGCTCTAACTTAGGTTATACAGGGACCGGCTGGCTCGTAGCAACAACCCCTTTATTCTGTAAACTTACCTCCTCCAATGTGTTGCTGAGCTGAAAGATCTGCCCTTCTCCTTCCACCTGCCGTACACACAGCTTGCAGCTGATCTCTGTGGTGGCTGGGCTCAGTCTCTCCAGGGTGAAGGTACAGTGAAGAGTTCTCTGGCTGCCACTCCACACCTGGTAGAAAGGAATCTCCTGGGGAAAAAAAACAATATGCATGTTTTTGTAGAACAAATTTCAGACAGGTAACCTGATGGGTCAAAGTATTGTCCAGCTGTGTCTATGACTAATATTGATGGCTGCGTTCTATAAAACATGTTTGCACCCTTTTTTGCTAATTTTACAATTAACCAAAGTGATGAATGATATCTTACCTTGGATCAAAGCTTAAAGGGACAATGCATGTCCAAAATCAAAAGTAGATATACCTGGATATTAAATGTATATGCATATCCCTCTCACCTGATACTTTGCAATTAGTTTGCTCTTCCAGTGTGTGTGTGGCACGTCATGGATCGACAGCCTCAGATTGTGTGTGCTGTCTTTAAAGTTCAGGGTCTTCGGCTCATCCAGAAGCTTCCCTCCCATCTGGGTCTCCATCTGAAGAACCTCCTACATAAAACCACACACACATACACACAAAAACTCAATACTAATTTCAGATTTCCTCCTCAACTTTGCTTCCATTTTGTTCACTGAACCATGTATTATCATACAGCATTAGAGATGGCAGACAGTCTTTCATTTATCTTGCATAATAACTGCAGACAATGGCGTCCTGAATGTTGCCTTGAAGTACACAGCACCACAAAACACTTGAAACACATGAAAGTCTTCATTAAGATATAATCAGAGAGCTCAGTAGTTGTATTCCCTGGATTTAAGCAAAGCTTAGCTCTGCTAACTGCACTCAGCTGAAGAGAGACATTAAGATGCTCAATAAAAACCTTGATTAATAATGCACCAGCAGTCAAAGTACTGCTGTTGTGAGGATGTGGGAAATGAAGCATATCTTTAAAGTAAGACAGTAAATTAAATTACTTCTAATGACTTTTTAAAATGACCTCAGTGCACCATATTACTTCTAAAAATAATACCAAGAAAAGTAATAATTGACTGATTATTCAAGATCTGGCAGCCCATTGTTCTCTTTTCCATCATCCTTCTCTTTCTACCATGACAAGATGACAGTCATGACTTTCCCTTGTGCACTCTCTAAAAAGTTTTAAAAATACTCTACAGTCTCACTCAGGACAGGTTCAAGAGATGATGCGCTGCACTCAGTGTGGGTTTTTATTTTAATTCACTATCTGAGATTTCACAAAATGAAGGAAAATTCAGTTTATGTAAAACTGGTAATGTCCGTTTGATGTCTTTGTCCATTCTGGAAACCAAAGGAAGCAGCACATTTTACTTTGCTGTGCTGCAGCTGTTTTAATAATACATTGCACACACAGTCCTGTGGGGATCTTTGCTCATCCTTTTCAAATTGACTTCTGTATATCAAGTAAGCCCACACCAATAGAGTACTAAGAAAGGACCTTTGCCCTCTGGATGCATAATGGTAAACACACACATGACTGATCAACATATTTACAGGCTCATGAATTGTACACAAACACTTCAACGAATAAATAAACACACATCCACACAAACGCTCAGTTTCTGTTGGAGGATTAAGTTATCAGTATGATTTCTGATGCCTCCTACAACCTTTTCAAAATAATCAATTCCTCCTTCCCATCATCTTCCTACACGGCAGCTCTACAGTAGATATACAGCAGAGACTTCCCCTTTGAAACGCAAACCGATCAATTATACTACACACAGTGTCCATCATTAAAAAGTCCACCTCTGAACTTTGTTTCCAAGCTGCAATTGCTTGTTTGAAATGGTAAAACTGGGTGTGCGTTGATGTTTGTGTGAGCGTGTGCGTGGCTGTGTGTCACACTGACACTTGACTTATCATTGCATGCATAAATTACCAATGTTAATCTCCCGTATCAGATGGTCCCCCCAGTGCTTTGAATTTGTTTAAATTCTAAAGCGTCGTTATTCTGACATTGCTTGACCCTGTTTTGTTTACCGCTTCTCAGCTCACTTCCAGAAGACTAGAGGTGAGAAAACTTCTGTTTATGACTCTAGACAATCACTTCTATTCAAGCTACAATACACTGTATTTCAAATGCAAATTACCATGGAACTGCTTAAGCATGGGTGGTCCAAGAGAGAACAAAATCCCTCAAAGGACTAAAGAACACAACAAAGGACTCGCTCTAAAATATAATAAAAATAAACACACATATCTTTTTTTTGTCTCTCTTCACCGCTTTTGAAAACACTGGAAAAACTCAGTAATTGTGCACACTGTAGATACATACTGTGTGCAGCATGTGTGTGTGTACATATAGATTAATTCAATTAAGTTGGATTCATTTAGTTTCAATACTTTACCTTCAGTGCGTCCTGTGTGTCGTCCAAGCAATAAACCCTGATGTGATAGTCCAAAGTTGTGCAGGAGACGGGTCCAAAGACAGCCAGTTTGAGCCTCTTGGCGGCTGCCTTGCAGATTGACTGGCCCACCAGGCAGTAAGTCCCCAGTGTCTCTGTTAAGATGTGACATGCCTCCGAGTCCATCTGCACATAGCAGGGGGTGGTGAAGTTTTCTTCTCCCACTACAACCACATCCTGTAGGAATCACACACATACACAAAGTCACACACAGTTTTAGACTCTCAGAGTGTCCTGCTGAGTCTGTGATGAGTGGCTGAAACTGGCATATTGTAAATCTACCATGTGAGCCGTCACGCATCGCAACTGAAGAGAGATCTTTAGAGGGCTTTATGCGACACAGACTACAGTACCTTTCAAAACAAGCCTTTCTGTCCGATTACAGCTATATAATAAGAACTTAGTATCATATATCACTGATTGGCTTGTCTGTCTTTTGATCTGTCAAAGCAAATTCAACAGTTCCTCGATCTGTTTCACATTGAATTGAGGCAAAATTCCCTACCTTTGCGACAACAGCGTTTATATTTAAACAACACACTATCATCAACATAGTGATGAGTATGATATGTTACCGTGCTGATAGAGAAACACTGGAAATGTAGAATGCTGAATTTAAAAAGTGAGCCACACTCATACTTGCCAACCCTCCGAATTTTCCCTGGAGACTCCTCTTTTTCATTGCCCTCTATTGAGTCACAGTTTATCATCAATTTTTCACTCTTTTTTTTCTTTTTTGTTATCACAAGCTGTTTCTGGCACTCTACAGCATGTTAAACCCCTTAAACTCTACAAGTCTACTGTTTCCACCCGCACAACCTTACAGCTACACCAAATGTCATTTCATGGCATGCAAGTGACATGGAAGACAACTGCTCAGAGACAAGCGAGAGAATGGAGAGTACTAAAAGACAGAAATGCTCAAGCATGGGGGTCACATAAAAACTGATAAATAGTCTATGCCAGAGATTCACAGAAGTTTAAGCCAGAGGGGCAAATTAATCTGTATTTTGAATAATCTGTTAAAGTTAAATTAATAGCATTTAACCTAAACATACTGCCAGTGTATTAGTGTAGCTACTTATCTATTTATTTTTATTTTATCCATTTCTTTTAAAATCACCAGAATTCAAGAAACAAAGTCTCTTAAACTCTTAAATTTCTCTGGGGGAGGACCACCAGACTGCCTGTTTTAGTTTTAAATCCTCCCTTTTTTTAAAGTCTCAATGTTGTCAAGTTTGGCCACAGTCCAGGTCATTTATTTTTCTCTCTCCCTGTATTTGGAAACAGCCTTTATTTGTCCATGCAGACTGCTTTTAGTGAGACCTGGGCATTATTTGAATACTGGCTTTATTTGAGAATTTAAGGGGATTAAGCCACATTCTGTCTGTTAACACGACACAACTGGACCTGCGTTCCGTGCCATTTCCACTAATGCAAACAACCCCTGAATAAGCAGGCCGTGGTTTCTAAGTGATGCCTTCCTTTGTTGCTTTAAACAGGTATTTTTTAATGCAGTGCCAGTGCTGATGTGTGCAGAGCTGTGGTAACTATGAAGAAATCATTGTTCAGCAAAATGTACCCTACTATACATTTTTAAATTTGAATTATTTTGCTTGTGGATCTTTTTTTATAAGGCAATGACTCATCTTGTTAGTGTGGTAATTCATCTGAGAAAACCAGTAACTGTGCTACTGACTCCTCGATTCATGTAGAGACACTGAATTGAAATGTAAATGCATGTCTGGTTGTACATATGACTTCTGAGAGTAAATCAAGGTGTCTATTAGGAGACTGATAACACTTGTTTGGAGCTGCTGTCTGTGAAGTGTGTCCAATTCAGCTGTGATTATCTGCTGGCTGTTGCTCATATCATTTCTACAGCTTCCTGTCATAGCTGGAGTTATAGTAAATCCATATAGCTCTATGGGATGGGTGAGGATGCACAGGCTCACTGTGGCCTCTTCATATAAGCACCGGATCTTCAATTAGTTGTGTGCATATCCATGTTGGTGTGTGTGACTGTGAGCGCACGTCTGTGGATGCAAACGTGCTGCAGCGCGGAGGCGTCCTACACGCACACGTGTGATACAAATATTGAGTTTTGAAGCGCAGTTCATGGGGAGCTGTGTTCCTACAGATGAGCAAGCCAAATCAATACAAAGAGGTAGGGAAGCAATATGGTATGAATCTGTTATTACTGGTAATCACAACCGTGGCTGCTCCTCCCTGATGTGAGGGGAATTCAATTACCTTCCTCTCCCTGTTTTGGGGAAAACTTTCTGATGGGAAATGGATGTTCTACTGCAATAAGAGAAAAACAAATCGACTTCCTGATGAAATTCCACTTTTCATTTTTCTCATCTTTACCCAGTCTGCACCCAACCCCTTCTGTTTCTCTCTCCCCGTCTCTCACTCACACATACACACACACACAGAATCTTATGCATGGCTAATTGTGCAGAGACATTGTGTTGAGCTGTGATAAGCAACAGAAGACAGCATACGGGGGCCTTGTAGACACAGTGATGCTGCAAGACAGCCTTATCACCCACACCCACACACAAGGATACACACACGCACGCATTCGCACACAAACAGACAAATGCGCATACATATGCAGTCACGCACACGCCGAAACAGATTGCTGAGGTAGAGACTTCATGCTGAGAGACACGGGAGGAGGGAGAGAGAGAGAAGGGCAGAAAAAAAGGAGGGATAGAAACATAAGAAGGAAGATGAGAGAAGAGGAGGATGGCAGGAGCATAACAAATTGCTTCTGATAGGAGTCTTCAACCCCCTGCTTGTCTACTAGCCTGTAGGCACTTTGTGTTTACTGAATTTTCTCTCCTTCCCTTTCTTTTCCTCTCCCTCCCTCACTGCATGTGTGCATGTGTAACGCAGGCCATTCTTCTGGGAGAATATGACAATGTTTGTTAGCATGTGTATGCTGTGTGAGTCACACTGTATACCTGACTATGTATTAATGACTAATGTGTGACGGTGCATGTTTATTTTGTGTAAACACATCATATACATTGGATTATTAAGATGCTAGGTGTGTACTTGTTTGTGCATCTAGGTGCATTTCCTTTATCCCTATTTGTTGGCAACAAAGTGATGGCTTTTCTCTTAGGAGGTTGAAACTGTGGGACTCAAAAGTTGCACATTACAGCTCACTAACAACAGAGCAACAAAACACAAAAGATACTGTGCTAAACACTCACCTCCCACTCTCCCATGGCCAGTTGGTTCTTCAGCTGTATCAGCCAGTCTTCCTGGACGTTGTCAGCACAGTGGTGGATGGTGAGGATCACTGGTCTGGTCAGCAGGGCTCCTGGAGGTCCACAGCTCACCACTGGGCTCAGCACTGTCTGGATGTCCTCTACCGGGGGTCTGGAAAAGACAGATAACACCGCGGAGAGATGATTCTTTAGAAGACGACACGAGGGCTGCACTGTTGGCTACCACTTAGTGTGAGCATCAACTGCAAAAAGCAGTATTGATTTCACTCCCGGTCTGTGTTATTTCTCAGAATGTTCATATATGGAAAAACTCAGCTGGCATAATAAGGAGGGCAGGTGGACAGTTACATTAGAGTGAGATAGACTAGCTTGAGCTGATGAGAATATTAGAGAGTCCAACAGATAAGAGCAGAGTCGCAAAAAAAATTCAATCAAAGGATGATTAGTGCAGTCAGCAGGGCTTCAGGTCGGCCTCAGCTGGAGTCAGTGGTTCAATAAATGAGCACTGGTCACAGCCTCTTCGGCTTTTTACAGTAAAGTCAGAGCAACAGAATACAACAGGCTCGTCTACTGAGAATAAATGTGAGATTATACAGTGAAAACCACAGAAATAGAACGAGAATAGAACTGACTTTCCCATTTAAATAAACGTAGCAGGATGATCAGAGTGGTGGCCATTTTTATGTGTACCATTGCCTATTCATATTGTGATACTGACGATATTTAGACTTGTTTACATTGATGTCATACTGTTACCCATAGCAACAACAAGCATGGCTAAAAGCAAAATAATTACAGACTGTTTTATGAACAGCCTTGGACTTCTCAGACTCTTTCAGTGAGTTACTGCGAGTTACCCTCCCTGCAGAAGGAACTCAGTCAGCAGCTCCTCCGGCAGCAGCACAGCGTATCTCCCTCTCCTCTCTCGCCGTGCACACATGGGAGTCGGTATTGTTTTGTCATAAACCTTTGGTAATGTAAACCTACGTGACGCTTGTGGCTTGACAAAAAACTACATATATGTGAATGTGCAACAGTTCTGTTATCATAACAGCCTGTCACAGGTTACAGCGTGATGATTAGAGGAGAATGGCAGAGCATAAAGGTCCAGGAGGAAAAAAACAAACTCATTTAGGATTTTTCTAAAAGAAGGAAATCACCTGTTGATGTATATATATAGATCCCAGGATACTTTATTTGTATTTGTGAGCTGTTTAAATGTGTAATGTATAGTAGCAGAGGTAAGGTCTTGCAGTAACTTTAAAGTTACTTTAAAAATATTACCACAGCTGTTATTTTCCTGTTTCTTTTGTTGCCATTAATTGCATGTTAGTCGAAACACGTAAACTAAAACTGTAGCTCTGTCCCCACGGAATGAATGAGAGGCACTGCTCCCTGGGTAGCTGAGAGGCCAAGTGAAACACGGGGAAAAACAGTGAGCAGATTAGCATATTCTCACATCTAACTTGGTTAAATTAAGGTGGTGATTGTTAGAGCAGTGGACTAACTAATGAGATGACTAAGAGGACTAACTAAGAGGGTTTTGGTGAGTTATGAGTGTATTTTACATGAGTTAACAAGGCACTTAAGCTAATATCACTCTTAATTCAGTGAAGGAGAAAAAATTAGATTGGTGTACAGTTGTATTTTTCTGTTTATGCAGGAAAACAGATGTAAGAATAGCCAAAAAACACAGTCCTCAAACTAGTAAGTGTGACGAAATGACCACGGGAAACAGTCCAATGTCATTTCTACTTTCAATCTATTTCTGTTGTTAACATCGTCAGTATCTATTATTTATTACTATTCTGTCATTAATATATTGAAAAGTTAAATATGGAAATAGGTCTGAACATGTCCATAATCCATTATCCAGTCATTTTCTTCCCTCGTGTTGCTGAAGATATTTATTGACTGGGAAAAAAAGCCCATACATGCAGAGGAGATGGATCTTAATTTTAACACTGATTTTTTTCCAGCCCACCTTGTGTCAGGGGGGAACTAATCCCTAGCAGTAATATCGATTTGGTGGTTGGAGCTCATTATTGACCCATGATGGGTTCACATGGGTAGGAGAAGCTAACAGATAAAAACAGAGCGACTGGAAGTGTAACAGCACCCTCTGACTCACCTAATGCAGGGGTTACGCCTTAATGAATTACAGTGTCATTGATTTGTGAAGTTATGTATCTTTTATCGTTCAAATGGAGAAAATAGATGTTGTGTGAGCAGAAAAGTGGACACCTGAGGGTTCAGTCGTAATGAGCTAAACCACATGATTCTAGCTTGCAAAGTGTTGCTGAGGCAAGTCAATTGGAGCTGTGTGATTTTTGCTAGCCAGCTATTGACTGTGAGGAAGCCAGAGTAGAGGTCTGGCTCTTAGAAAAACTGTAGCGCACTGCAGGGGGCCTAATTCTTATTGACTGCTATTGATTGGGGAGAGGCTTGAATGGTTGCATGGGATGAAAAACACGAGTTAAGTGTCCTGAAGCTCAGGTCGTGTAAAGGCTTTGAAGAGTTAGTTCACCCAAATTATTAAAGAAGATATTTCTTTGCTCAGCAGTTGTGGTATTAAGCCAGGCTGACATTAGTACTGTTTTTTTAATTCGCTGTTTCTGAACATTTTGCCACCTTCCCAAATACAATCAAGGTGAATTTAATGTAGTTCATTGTGCTAACAGCACTAAGCAATTATACTGGAAAGACTAAAAAGCAATGTGTCCTTCAAGAACACAGTGTCCTTGTTACATTGCATATTACACAAACCTTGCAGCAAATAAAGAAAACAAATTGCCAATATGACAACTAGTGACAGCATCTTCTGTAGATTATCCAGCGTAAAATGGCCACTACGACATGTTTCTCTGTAATTACTACATTTAAACTTTTTTAAAGGTGCAAACAAAATGAAATGACCCCAATCATAATGTAGTAGCCGTGCTCCATTGCGCTCGTTTCAGATTTCCTTCATTTTCAGGCTGGTTTTGTGGATTTGGAGCTACATGTTGTGCCTGGGGCACGTCGTGTATTAATGATACTCATCACCTGGAGAGGTTGGAAAAAGACATATGTTTCTGACGTACGTATGTACCCTGAAAAGTGTAGGGTTAGCTAGCTAGCTACTGAAGATATAGCCTACTGAATGTATACACATGCTGCTTTTGCTTTTTAATGATTATAACAGTGAAACAAAGACCGACCCTGCTGTACAGGAACCAGTGAAGGGAAGCAGGGAAACTTTGCTGATATTCAACCAGCTGTGTGTCATCACATTGAGATCCCTGCCTGTGCGGCGGTGAAGGTCCAGGTGCTGGCAGCAGCACGGGGGCGAGGCCAAACACTGTTCACCTGCACACACTGCGATGCCACACAGCTGGTTCAGTATCAGCCCTTTATATTCATTGTCTTGTGTGGCGATCAGCAGTGATGTGGTTGTTCACTTTTACACTGTGATCTGTAGCCTATAGTTCGGCTTTAGCTTCTAATTATCTTTGTTTTTTTAACCTGTTGTTGCTGCTGAGTCAGTTTGACATCCTGGATATATCCTTCAAACACAGACTGTAGACCCCTCTGTCTGCTTCTCTCTGGAATCACTCTTTCATTTCTCCAAAAATATGATAATATTTCTTCAGGGAGTGCAGTTAGTTACACTGTGGGCTCCATGCTTACTGCAACAGCTTGTTGGACCATCACAAAGGGGTGGGGCTTAGTGAAAGGTCAATTCACCTCCATTGTATTGGGGTGTTCACTGATACCCGAAAATGAAATAAAACCCATAAGACCCATCTGCACTGGCAAAATTCCAAACGTTTGGCTCTCCAGACAAATTTCAAGTTTACCACTTGCTGTCAGTATAAATGGTTTAGTTGTTGGTGCAAAAAGAGAAAAGAAAGATACACAGAGCAATCATAATAATAGCTATTGACTCTGTTTTCTCTTAAATTTTAACAGTATGAGAAAGACAATATTTTGATGTCTTTTGCCATGCACATTGTGACAGTTGTTTTGCCATATTGCAGGTATTTTATGCAGCCAGGTCGCTGTCAAATAAAGTGCTCATAATTCCCCCCAAATTTGCATCAATGAAATTTTCACACAACAGCTGGAATATAGACATTTTCTCCCTTGTCGCTCGTGTCCCACAGAGAGTTTTACCTCACTCATGCACAGGGTTTGGGGGTAAAGGATTATAGTACATGTAACAGGATTACAGTAATCCCAAAAATAACCACTAATCTGTTAGTTACTGTGGAAACGGCAATCTCTTTGCGTATGCTGTCAAAAGCTTGGTGTTTGTTTTTTGGATCTATAACACGGCATGAAGTATGGAAAAAATCTGTTGTTGCACTGCAGTCAACATTAGTTTCACACATCTTAAAGTAATGGCTGTTATGAGCTCCACATTTGGGTAATAGCGCTGATTAACTATGTAAATTATGTGGATTACTGTACAGATTATAATGTTAAGTGGGTAATAATTAATGTGTAAAAAATTCCCCCTGTAATCTTCTCAACTTTAATTCAGGCACTAATGCAGGAAATCTGTGGTATTAACTGACCTCTGTTGAATGAGTCACCGACTGAATGTGTGCATAGATGCACTATACACTATAAATAATAATGATTCATCCATCGCTGTGGATCCTAAGCCCATGTCACACTGTGAAAGCCTCCCCACGCAACCATACAAACAGGTCTGAGAAGCCGGTGCCCAGGAGAGAGACGGAGAAGTGCAGACAAAGAAAAACAAAGCAACAAAAAGAACATAGAGGGAGATGCAGAGATGAAGAGAAAAATGGGGACAACAGGGAACAACACAGAGGAACATGAAAGCCACAGCAAGGGAAACTGAGGGAAAAAAGGAGCCCAAACTTACCTCAAGCTGTCCTTCCTGTGCACAGTCACATACATCTCGTACACCCTACCCTGAGGAACGGCACCCGCTGGAACCAACAAACTCACACCTGCAGGAGGGAGGACAGGGAACGCAGGATGGATGGAGGCAGAAATAATGAGTTTCATCACTGGATTTATTAATTTCACCACGCACAACTGAATTATTGAATGTGCAACCCATTATCACTTTATCATTAGGATTAATTATTGAATAATCATTTTTAAAGGCAACCCGTGTAAAACTTTCTCTTAAATATATCATCAAGCGAATTGTGCTGCAGTGTTTTATAGCTTCTGAGAGCTGCTTCCTATCAGCAGGTTACATTGTTCATTATTTCGCTCTGCCCACTGCTTTTAAATCCTAACATAAGTCTGCTGAAAGTTTTTTTTTCTTTTAAAACTAGGTAGCTGGAGAACATCCCAAGGCTGTTTTTTGTATTATGTTGACTGTGCAGTATTAGCTCTAACCTTACTTTATGTGGTCAGCGTTTGGTACAGGGAATGGATTTGATGTTTTTAAAATCTTAGATACTTCTTTTTATTCAGGGTTGACTTTGATGACATTCTCATTATCTAAAGCAATTTATGTAATCTAATGTATTATTATGTGTTCATTTAATCATCCAAAAATGTGTGCCATCTTGCACCTTTCCATTGATTTTATATCACAACCTCTAAAACTTGCTTTGTGCCCTTTCTGAACACGCAGCAACAAATCACTGCTGCATCATCACTGCACAGGAACCAGGTTTAGGATTAGCTGTTAAGCAAGTTAGTTAGGGCAGTGCAGTGGTTGGCATTGTCGCCTCACAGGTTCTTGGTTTGAACCCAGGGTGAGGGGTTTGAATCCCGAGAGGTGGGGTTGCATGTTCTCCCCATGTGAGCGTGGGTTTTCTCCGGGTACTCCGGCTTCCTCTCACAGTGCAAAGACATGCAGGTTAGGTTAACCGGCGACCCTAAATTGCCTGTGAGTGTGAATGGTTGTCTGTCTCTATGTGTCAGCCCTGTGATAGTCTGGCGACCTGTCCAGGATGTACCCTGCCTCTTGCCCAATGTCAGCTGGGATACGCTCCAGCCCCCTCACAACCCCGGTTACATAAAATGAATGAATGAAAATGAATTCATTCATGAAAGTCAGTGTAGAACGTTTACCTGAGTTGGGTACAATGAGGTGTCCTCCCTGGTTGTTGAAGGATCCGTGAGCAGTACAGGAAGGGTCTCGTGTTCGGGCCAAGCTCTGGTTGCGAAGGTTCATGGTGTCGCTGTTATCCAGCAGAGACTGAGTTACCTAGGGATTAAAAGACAACAGTCAGAGTGATAACACAGTGGAAACTTAGTGATCACAATTACAGTGATCAACTGCTTCTATGGATCAAAAAGCTTGGGACAGAATCATTCACAGGAATGCTGTTCAAATAATTTGCTCACCGTAGTCAAATAGGCTGCTCACAGTCTTAATTTTGGGTCTTTTCACACATGACAACATTTTTTTTTAAACTTTACTCCCGTGATACTTTGCCTGGCAGTAACCCGTCTGCTTCCAGCTGGCTACCTGAGGCTAGTGCTGCGTGCACACTGAAATCATGATGGGAAAACAAAGTAATTTCCTCTCAATGAAAACTGTAGTCCCCTTAAAGCTTATGGCTGCTGGTGATGGGGACACAAAGTGGATGCACATGGGGAAAGCACCTGTGTTTGAAGCCGCTCTCATCATGTGGATTGATGATACCCAGTCACATAAAGCCCCCGTAATAAAACAGCTGTTCTGTGTTTTGAAATAGTCAATAAGATTCAGAACATAGTGAAGCTGTTTGTTTCATTTATTTATATTCATGTAATAAATACACAACTGACAATTAAATGGTAATCTGAGTGAGAAATAAAGAAAATGAAGAGAATATGGTGGTAATAATCATCTGCTTATATTTGGTCAATTTGACCTGGACAGACGTGATCACTGGAAAGTCCCGTTTCCACCAAACAGCCGATAGATCGGTTGGCCGATAAATCGGTTGGGCCCTGGTACCTAGACCCACCATTTCCAACGCAAACAGTACTCTTAAATGTGGGTGGGCTTGTTGTTACTCACTGCTCCATCCAGCACTCACTGTATTTCCTCATTATCGGTGACACAGAGGGAAGTCTGCACCTCGTTAATCGTCCACAGAACAAAATATAACAGGCTGCAGTAAGAGTCTCTCTCCATGGGATATTTAACAATAACGGGTTTATGCATTTAATCCTTCTAAGGCAAGGTCCAGGATTTAGTGTTGCCGGAGCCCACAGGAACTATGCTCCACAATGCTTTTTATTTTCTCTGAGTGAGGATTAGAATATATGCCGTTCACATAACCTGGTCGAAATTAATATATATATATATATATACAGTACAGGCCAAAAGTTTGGACACACCTTCTCATTCAATGCGTTTTCTTTATTTTCATGACTATTTACATTGTAGATTCTCACTGAAGGCATCAAAACTATGAATGAACACATGTGGAGTTATGTACTTAACAAAAAAAGGTGAAATAACTGAAAACATGTTTTATATTCTAGTTTCTTCAAAATAGCCACCCTTTGCTCTGATTACTGCTTTGCACACTCTTGGCATTCTCTCCATGAGCTTCAAGAGGTAGTCACCTGAAATGGTTT